GGGATGGGTGGGGGGGCCGACTTCCTGGGGCGGCCCGTGAGGATGTCGCGACCGCCCCCCGATGCCCCTCAGCCCCGGAGACTCCGCAGCCCCCCTGTCTGAGGCGTCCAGAGCCTGGATCCGGACTCTCCCCTCCCTCCTTTCCTCCCTTCCCTCCCAGGTGCGCGCGGGGCCGGCGGCAGGTGAGGAGGGGGTGGCGGCGGCGCTGGGGTCCCCGGGGCCCGGCCTGGGGTGGGGCCCTGCGGGAAGACGGGGGCTCCCCTCGTGCGCTAGCATGTGATCTGGGGGCGCCTTCTCAGTGTGGGGCGCGGCCTGGGACTCCCAGTGCCCTGCCGGGGTGGGGGGAAGCCCTTGCATGCGGGAAGTGTCCGCGTTCGGGGCAGCCCACACCTGTCCCATTGGACGTACCCTCCAAGAAAGCATCTCCCGTGGGGTGGTCCCCGGGGTGTGTGCGCTCAGCTGTCCCCCAGCGCCTCGCACACTGGCGGGTCCAGCGGACTGGGGCTTGGGGGGGTGTTACTCTGTAAGCGCAGAGGAAACTGAGGCAGGTCTGCAGGGGCCTGCTTGCCTCTAAGGAAACTAGCTTGTGTCCTTTCCGGCGGAGGAGCCCTAAGGGCTGCTTGAGAGAGAGGGGCTTACAGTGGGAAGGTCTGATGGAGAAGTTTGGGAATGCGGTTCTCCCCCAGGGTCGGTCTCTTGGGAGACGTCCTCTGTGCACTAGGCGCGTGAGGTCGCCGCTGTGCGGCAGTGGCCGAGACAGAGAGGAGACTGGGGCCTCTCTCCAGCTGGCTGCGGAGGAGTCGTTTGACCAGGCACGGGGAAGTCTGGCTAGACCGGGGGAGCCGGGGAGCTCCGCTGGCATCGGTCTGCCCAGAGCTGGGTTTCAGGCTGGCAGAAGAGGCAGCATCGTATTTTCTCCTTTTTGTTGGTCTGTCATTTGTTCTAGGGAAAGGAAGAACCTGCTTGTGTAATCAAGGAAGAGTGTTCCACTCTCCTCCTAGTCTAGCAGGGGGAAGGATTATTGTCAGCTTAGAAATCAGGCTTTACCCACAAGTGTCACTTGGCTCTCTCTGGTTAAAGGCTAGAGTGACGCAATGAACGAAAGGGTGCATGTGGCCTTCTGAGAAAGCAGGTAGGTTCCTTATGCATCCTTTTCACGGGTGGTTTGCAAGACACACACTTCCTGTCACCACTTTGTTGCTACAAGTGTTTGAGAGCCTTGTGGGTCGCTCACTGACAAGTCCGCTTTGCATGTGAGCAAGGCTGTTCGCTGACCATTTTTCTAGGAATGGGATTACTCAGGGACGTGGTCCTGGGTTGAGTTTGTGAGCAGAGTGCTGGGACTGGATGCTGGCCGTATTTCCTTAATGTTCAAGGGATTTCAAGTTTGACTTCTTTCCTCTGATTACATTTTTGTTCACATTCAAGGAAGCAGATGATGGCAAGCATTTCTGAAATTTGCATATTTCCTAATTCTGGACTTCTGCAATTCATAAGTCATGTTTAGGTAGAGATGTTATTTTCATAAGTTTGTGAATGTTTGGATATTATGTGTAACAATTACAGATTGATGGAGGAGCCTAACTAATAACTTGATTATTCTTGAATCTGTAAGATTACATCTGTCCTTGTAATCTAGGACACACACATTTTAATACATATCTAATTAGAAAGACCAGCCACTAAAACTTCTGTCAAGTGCTTCCTTGTTTACCTTGGGATCAACAGTTGTAAGTCCTCTAAACTGACCAGTTTAATCAGCTGCTAAAATAATACACACAGTCCTGGATGTACACCCAGCACTCAAGAGGCTGAGGCAGGAAGATTACTGCGGGTTTAGTGAGTTCAAGGCCAGGCTAAATTACATAGTAAGACCCTGTTTTTAAAAGCAAACAAACAACAACAAGCCACACAGGAAAAGAAAGCTGTTCTTGAAAACCTTGGCAATTTGTTTTTAGGTGTTCTTTTGGCCAAACCAGTTGACAGAACTCTGTCTCGTATCATCTAATAGAAATGCCTTTTGGGGGGGTGCTCCAGATTGAATTTAGGGCCGTATGTATGCTACACAAATGTTCTAGTGCTGACCTGTGCCCCAGCCCTTTTTATTTATTTTATTTTGTGACAGGTTCTTGCCAAATTGCCTAGGCTAGCCTCAAGCTTTTGATCCTCCTGCCTCAGCCTCCAGAATAGCACAGATTGCAGGACTCGCACCACCACACCCAGCTAGAGAATCAACAGCATTCTTTGTTTTGTTTTGTTTTGTTTTGTTTATGCTGCTGAGCTACATCCCTAGCTCCAGAAATGCTTCTCAGAGGGCTTTCCCAATAGCAGTGGAGAAGGCATTTTCACTGACCAGTGTTTGAGTCAGAGCAAACAACACTAGCAATAAGAAGCATGCATTTTTTGTTGTTGCTCAATATACAGGGTTGAACCTAGAGCTTTGCTCCGAACTACATCCAAAGTCCAGTTATTATTATTTTTATTTTGAGATAATGTTTTACTAAGTCACTACTAAGTTGCATAGTCTGGGCTTCAAAGTGTGATCCTCCTGCCTCATCCTCTCAGAGTGCTGGGATTGGCAAGTTGCTTCACCAACTCCAGTGACATAATTTTGATTCTAATAACATGTGCATTGTGATGTTTAGTACAACCATACCACCTGTCCATATGATGTCACCTGGTACTTTCTGAAAACATCTACATCAACCTAAGGAGTGTTGGGGGCTTGATTTTTATTTTTATAATAGAATCTTTTAATACTGCTGTTGTTTTGATGATAGAGCACTGTTTTTTTTTTGTTTTGTTTTTCTCCGGTACCGGGAACCGAACTCACAACCTTGCGCTTGCCAGGCAGGCGCTTTTGCCGCTGAGCTAAATCCCCAGCCCCGATAGAACACTGTTTTGATAGAGGACTTTTATTTTTAGTACTTAGTATTATTTTTGGTAGTGCTGGGGATCAAACCTGGGGCCTTTAGGAATGCTGCTCAACGTGTTCTGCCACTGAACTATACCCTCAACCTCTTGGGCTATTTTTGTTTGACCTAGTCATTGATAATATTTACTAGATGTTTATGAAAGGAAGATTTGGGCAATTTTTTTTTTTTTTATTCATCTTTTTTGAGACAGGGTCTCCTATGCAGTTCAGGCTGGCCTTGAACTCACTTGGTAGCCTAGGCTGGTCTTGAACTTGCAACGATCCTCCTGCCTCAGCCTCCCAAGTGTTGGGATTACAGGCGTGTGCCACCATGCCCGGCTGATTTGGGCAATTTTAAGAACAATCTTTTTCTTTGTCTTTTTGAGACAGGGTCTCACTATGCAGTTCAGGCTGGCCTTGAGCTCACTTGGTAGCCCAGGCTGGTCTTGAACTCCCAGTAATCTTCCTGCCTCAGCCTCCCGAGTGCTGGGTTTACAGGTGTGCGCCACCACACCCGGCTTAAGAACAATCTTTTCATATACAAACACAGACTCTTTTTAATAGGGAAATAGTCCAGTCACTTTCTTGTTTTATAACTTTGTTAGTTGTGGGATTTTAAAATCGTAAAATTTGAGAGCTCTTAGTGAGGTACCTGTATCCTGTTGTGAGTCACAAAGAGCCATCTTGAATAGGTAGTCCTTGGCTTCTTGCGTTAGAGACCTCGGCTTTCCCTATTCTCAGGATGTAGCAGTTGTGTGGTCAGAACAGCAGTTATATCTAACCCTGTTATGCCAGTCCTGGTTTAAACCTATTATCCTTTCTCTTCATGAAGCCTGTCTTGAAGTTTCTCTTTTACTTTTGTTATGCAGAGTGAATTTTTCACATTTTTTATATTTCTGAACCTGTTCACATTTGAAGTGGAGTTAAGTTGGTTAAAAGAGTCCTGCGTGATTTTAAACACTTTTCTTTTTCAAAGAAAGCTTAAATTCTGTTTCTTCTGGGACAAAACCAGCTCTTTGAATCTGATAGTAAAACAAAAGCTGGTTTTTCCAGCTTTCTACCAGTAGGAAATCTTTATTAACCTTTTGTTGATTCTGGTTTTGCCGGTACAGTGGGTAGTCAGTCACTAGTGGTGAATAATGACCCAGTTACACTGGGAGATCCTGCAGTCTCCTGAATCATCAGAGGTAGGTCACTTTGCATTCAGTACGGCTTTAGCCTTTTCAGCTTGTTTTATTGCAAGGAGTTCCCTAAAGGGAGCCACTCCTTGAAAGGTTTGGTATCTGGCGGTTTTCTACTGACTCTCGGAGGTGTTCTTTAAAAATGCAGATTTCCCAACCCTGCTTCCTGGAGATTTTGATTGAATGGGTAAATGAGGATCAGGAACCTACTTTTAAAAGACTTCCCTTTGCATCTACAGTATTTTCAAGAAGTTTCCCAAATGCTTTGGATATGCAGCTAAGTTTGGAGTTCGGGGACTGCTGTTCTATTGCACTGATATCTTCCTTTTCTTTCTTTCTTTCTTTCTTTCTTTCTTTCTTTCTTTCTTTCTTTCTTTCTTTCTTTCTTCCTTTTTCTTTCTTTCTTTCTTTTTTTGCTTCCTTGCACAGTAAGCCCTGTGGAATTTTGATTATTGTGATGCACTTTTTTCCTTTAATTTTTACGTTGGGATCGTACCCACTGACATTCTTTATAAATTGGTAGTCCCTCCAATAGCATTGTTATGCTATCCAGGATATTTGATTTGCTAGAACAGCCCATTTCCTAGTCAGGATAGATAACAAAGAGCTTTTATAACTTTTATGTAAATTGCTCTGCCGCAAGGCCCCTCTGCTGTATTATCTATCAGGAGTCATGAGAGAGGGTTTTTGGTGAAAGTAGCTTTCTTTAGCTCGTGAGTGGACAAATGAGAGATAATGTGGAAACAGCTGGAGGTCTGAATAGGTAGTCAGTTGAGTTGTGATCAGTCTGGGATAGGAGAGATGCCTGGGAATTCTCTTATATAAGATTTTAAAATAAAGCCAATGTGCCAGTTGTTTCATTTTTATTTATTTATTTTTTACAGCTGAACCCCTTATTGAAAATAGGTGTTAAATAGTCAATAAAATTTAGTCACAGGTTCTTTGCTGAATTCACTGAGGGAAGAAAATTGCTGAAACCTAGAAACATGTGAGGTGAAACAGAATTAGGCCTAGATAGGAGGTATTAAATTTAGGTTTGGAAAAGAGCCTCCCAGTACTGGGGATTGGACCTGGGGGCTTTTGCACT